GGAAAGAAAAAAATTGAAATGCAGAAGGAACAACGGAAGAGAGTCCGAGAGGAAAAAAAAGAGCTGAAAGAAATTGAGGTAAAGAAGAGGAAGGACGAACGGAAGGCCAAGAAGAACCAACAGAAGAGTGTTGCTGGTGAACCAGAGAGAGTTACGGGGAAACCGAAGAAAAGGATTAAAGAAGATATGGTGACTGTGACTAACGTTGGACTGACAAAGAAGCCCGGAGAAAACAAGAGCACCAAAGGACTGCGACTCACTGTAAACGCATCCCGAATGATGACGAGGAATGCTAAAAGAGTTATTGATGCAATAAATTGATGCAATGTGACAATAAAGACAGCCGTATTCACTTAACGACTCTGACGTTAATACTTTTCATGCCATCCAAACCCACCGATAGTGAGTGGACCATCATTGGATCCAACCCGGTTGATAACTGGAGTAAACCGGTCCATCACTAAGGTTTTTCGGGAAATTTTGTAAAAAAAACTTTTGCCAAAAAAGCAATGAATGTTTGAAGAAGCTGTTCTTACCTGTGTTACAACATTTAAATTACACATCACCTCATCCACTTAATACCATCCTCATCTAAAAAATACAACTCAGAGAGAGCTTCAAAGAGCAAATACGTCCTTAAGTGGCCCATCACTGGGTCTTTTACCCTACTTCTGGAAAGTTCCTGTGTTTAGCAGCAATATTTCTTTTGCATTCTGCTGTATGTCAATTTTGCACCAAGTTGCCAACTTTAATCTGTGAGGGGTGAGCATTGAATTTAGAAACATTGTCATTGCCAGGATGCACAAATTAGCTTACAATCATGCCCCAATCACTGACTTGCAGTTGATGAGTAGAGGCAGGGAAACATTTTTTGTGTCTTGATAACTGCAGGAGTCAATTGGCCTGGGGCATGGTCAAATACAAAATGTTACGCTCTTATCACAATCTTTCCAAACTTAATACTCATCTCATCTGGATAAATATTGGCAGATCTGTGCAAAATTAATTTATCTCTATATATCTCTGTATCATCAAAAACTAAATTTGCTCATTTTTAATGACTTTTCTGTAGTTCCAGTTTTTATTTGCTTAGTCCTTAATTGGCCATCTTAAATATTAATTTGAGGTATGGTTCTGAGTCTCTTGTACTTCATTATTTGATTCTCTTAGGAACGCTGCAAACGAATGCTATTGGGGCAAGGCTTGGACTTGGAGGAATTTGGGGGGGATGTCCAGTGTATCCCAATCTCTGCACTGGAGGGGAAGAACTTGGATCTTCTCATCGATGCCATTCTCACTCAGGCTGAAATCAGTGACATTCGATGTGACCCAAAGGGTCCAGTTGAGGGAGTCATTATTGAATCTTGCACTGATCCTGGCAGAGGGTAACTCTTCATAATGATAGAACAATCATCAGGTACTTTTCTCTCAAGAATGGCATAACTCAGAGATATTTATTTATTTTGCAGGAAGTTATGTACAGCCATCATCCAGAGAGGTACCTTGTACAAGGGAACTATTTTAGTAGCTGGAGAAGCATGGGCTAAAGTGAGGTCCATGTTCAACGATCAAGGTCTTCCTATTTTGGATGCTCCTCCTGCTACCCCAGTAGAGATTGTTGGCTGGAGAGAACTACCTTCAGCTGGAGATGAGATCCTTGAAGTCCCCTCTGAAGTGAGGGAGAAATTCCCTTCCAATACATGTTTCATAATTATCTCTGGAGTTCTGATCTAATCAAATACATATTTTAGAAAAAAGCCCATGAGGTTGTTGCATGGAGGAGGCATGTTCATCTCCAAGAAAAAGGAGACCAGGACTTAAGTGCCATCCAGGAGAAAATGGAAGAGCACTTAAGAGTGTATAAGGCTGAACTGGAGGAAAGGAGGAGACTCAGGGTTCGAAGGCTCAGGCGAAGGGGGCTTCGACCAAAAGAAAATCCTTCATTCCCAGATGATAACTCCAGACTGGCCATTGTCATCAAGGGTAATCCTCCCCTATCATACCATATCCTGAAAGTACAAGCAATGTGATATTGAGAACTGTAGTCCTAGTTTCTTCTTGCACATTTTGTTATGCAGGAGATGTTGATGGATCGGTTGAAGCCATCTTGGATGTCTTGGACACTTACCATTCTCCTCTCTGTCATCTTGACATCATCCACTATGGAATTGGTGCAGTTTCTATGAAGGATATTGAATTTGCAGAAGCGTTCCAAGGTTTTTATTTTTCTTTATGGTATTACACAACACCCTTCTTTCCCATGTCTTCACTTGCAAAAAACAGTACACTTTTGTGTGATTCTTTTCATATGTAGGTGTCATATATGCTTTTAATGTCACTATCCCTGAGAAGATAAAGAGGGATGCCAAGGGGAGGGGAATCAAGATAAAGAACTTCAACATTATTTATCGTCTCATTGATGATGTGAAGGAAGAGATCAATATGAGACTTCCTTTAAAGGATGTTGAAGAAATCATAGGTCAGTCCCTGGGAGTCCAACTGTGTGATTCTGCCCTTTTTCCTTCCTTCACTTTTCCTTATTCATTGCTAGGTGAAGCTGATGTTTTGCAAGAGTTCCTTGTCTCTGAGGGCCGCAAGAAAATTCCTGTTGCGGGTTCTCGGTGTACCAAGGGAGTGCTGAAAAAATCTGCAAATTTTCGAGTCCTTCGAGGGGGAAATATATTGCATGAAGGTTGGTGTTCTTAGGAGAAATGCAGATTTCTTTGTCAATTTTTGTCTTTCATCAATGAGAAAACTGAGATCCTCTTTGCAGGAAGTCTTTCATCAATGCGGCACTTGAAGAATGAAGTGGATGCCATCAAGAAGGACACAGAGTGTGGACTTTGTTTCCAAGATATTTCTCTGCGCTTTCAACCTGGAGATACCATAATATGCTTTCAGATTGTCAAACAGCCTCAAAAGATTGACTGGGACCCTGGCTTTTGAATTTGAAACTTTGCATAATACAGGCTTCTCTGTCTAATGTACCTGTTACTACCCCTTTGGTGGGGAATTTCTTGAACAGACATCTACCACCAAAGTGAAGACTTTTTTTTATGAGAGCAATAATTCGTGTACGTCAGGGGTGCTCAAACTTTTTGAGCTTGCAGGCTGCACGGACAGTAACTTCCTTCTTCAGGGCTGCTCAATTATTAACTGATTATTTATAAATAAAAATTAATAAACCTCCTTCAACATTTTTTACAGACCTTGTTTAGTATGGACAATGTCAACAAGAAGCATGAAGTTGGCGCTTTGATCACATCACTTTGACCGGTCTGTTCCCAGCCTCAAAAATGCCATTGTTAGCATGTCTCTTAGATGAGCATTAGTCACTGTGGTTCTCGACCGGTGTTTATTCAACTTCACGATGGAGATCTGTTCATAGATATGTGCTTATGTAATTAAGCTAGTCATCTTTTGGGCATGGTGAAGAAGTTTTGGAAAACGACTATCACTTATGCGTTTATGGAACTCGAGCAGAGACAGGTCAAGGAATCTGTTTTTTCAGTCCATTTATCATAATTGCAGCTTGATAACTTCCATTCCCATTTTTTTGCGTACTTTCCCAACATTCAAATTGAACGGAATACAGGATAGCTGAATTTCTTTCTCAAGCCCAGAGAAATCCTGAGATCATTCCTTAAATTTGGCCTGATGATGAAAAAAGAAGCAGTTTTATTTTGAAAGCACTCACGGCTGAATGAAAGTCTGAGGTCAAGCAATCGCGACCTTGAAGAAACTTGCTCAATTCATTCAGATGAACTGTCACGTCTGCTAGAAATACCAAACGATCAGCCGTCTCAGTTCAGACAAGTCAAACAAGGGATTTCTGTATTCCTCAAATAGCATTTTTCTTTCTTTTTGGAATAGTACGTTTTGAGCCCTTGAGCGCATTTCCTTATGACAGGACACGTCTTCAATCCGTCTTGTGATTGTTGGACGCAAGATGTCCTCATTTTCAAATTGCTGACTTATTTCATGACGCAGGACCTCCAAAATCTTGGCGATGAGTGTCTTAACAAACTGCGTCTGAAAATGACCTGCCATGTTCAGCAGTCAAAATGGCTACCTCACAGCTTGCAGGAGTCACCTTTTCTTGAGCAGAAGTTATGCCACTGAATAACACAAGCCTTGAGCTTTGCTGCTAATTCGTCAGCTGGTACCCTTCATGTAACTCGGCGTGCTTGGACTGGTATTGCCTCCCAAAATCATGCTCCTTCAGAACAGTAATTTGTCTCCAGACAAATCGAGCACAGCCTTGCCTTTCATGTCTAAAAATAACTTCCCAGCAATTTCTTAATTTTCGGCACTGACAATTTCCCATATATTTAGGCTTGGCATGATTCAATTATATCGTACTCTGCAGGAAAAAAAGAGTATGCATAAACGTCCTCTCAAAAAAAGGAGATTAACGTGTCCCACACCTAAAACGACTGAAACTCGTTCTGTTTAAATGGCGCACTTGCTAAACAAATCCTGCGATATCCCAGGAAAGCACAGAGCGAGGAAAAATACTCCCGAGCTTCCGGCGAACATGGCATGAGTAATAACTTAGGATCCACGAAGAGACATGGTACAGACCAGGCAAACACACAAAAACATCCGCTACACGCCCTATTAAATGTGTGGGTCAATCATTGGGGATCAAAAAATGTCTTAATTCACAGAATAGAAGGGTGGATCCGGTGAGGCGAGTGGTTCACAGACGAGATCTGACTTATAAGACTACATTGGAAAAGAGGGACATGAAACGGCTCTTAACAGTGGGCAAACTGCGGATGAGATTGTAGATAATTCAAGATATTTGTAACTAGCGGGTTTGTTTGCCTTCCTGACTGACAAACTCGCTGCGCTGCGAGGTGCAACGGAAATTTCATTTAGTAACATGGGGTCCCTCTACAACTTTATACTGACCCCCCAACATTTTTACTCCTTGGGGGGGGTGGGGGAGGGGGTCTGTAGTAGTGAATCGGCCATATATTGATAAGTACTAAATATATACTAAATAGGGCACCCCAGGGGTTCCGAATTTTGAAACGCCACCTAGCCTATGACCTTCCCCGGACCAAATGAGGAAGCCATGCAAAATGTGGTCGGTCTGGGATCAGAGGTATGGCCGTGCATAAAGGACAGACAGACAAACACTCTGAAATATAGTATAGATTAAAAAAAAAAAAAAAGCAGGCCAGCTGGGAGCAAAAAGTATCATGCCGGTCGCATCTTGACGTGATAGTAGATAGAATCCTTCGGTGGGCAACCCTGGTGTATGTGTACATAAATTTACCACTCTTTTTCAAGTTTCTACTCCTATTTTGAGTCTCAAGTTCATATTTAGCTCAAACTAAAAAAATTGCTTGAAATATACATTAAGCACATATAGAAGTGTTTCGCCATGATGGATATGCATGAACTTTCTCTGACAAGGAGTTAAACTGGACAATATGGATAAAACGAGATGACTGATGCAGCCACCACCTGGCTCCCCTTAACAGTCTTTGGCACCTCTGTTGAGGTATTTTTTTTTAATACCCTAATAACTCCGTCACCTAGGTAGCATACTTCTTTTGGGCTTGTGGTGGGCCTCTTCCGGAATGAATAGGATTGTGGTGGGTGAAGCTGAGTAACATTGCAAGTTAAGGGCCTACCAAGCATCAATGGCATTCATCCATGTCTTGTCTGGAAGAAGTTGGGCTGGTAGTGGGAAGCTTACCCTATGAGGTTGAGTCTTCCACCATCTGTTGGCAGGTGTTGGCTGTTGATTGAAATATGGCGCCTTGGCGGTCTGATGAAGTCAAACGTTCAGAAATACATGCCATTCAATGGTTGTTTCCATTTGAATGTGGAGCAGTTGGCTCCCACAAACTCTGCAAATTTCAACTTTGTGATTTCCTTATTTTATATTGTTGATCAAGTGTATAAGCTTTATTGTCAGCCCTATCAAAGGACTTTTAGCTTGAACCTGGCCTGAAAATGTCAAACTGAATCTTGTCTGGTTTTTCTAAAAAGAGGATTTAACTGCCAATGAACACTTTTTTTTTGTCTGAAGTAACACATTACTGCCCAGCAAAAAGTTCCAGCTAGAAATAGCAAATTTTCCATCTGTTAAAGCGAGCCACTTCCAGCAGGAATTGCAGCATTTCCAACCAGACTATTTGTAAATTGGTATGCTCTTTCCAGCCGGAATGAACCAACAGGATCCAGCTGAATTTTCATGCTGTATTCTACCGGATCTCTGCCTTTTCAGTCGGAAAACGCCTATTTTCCCATATCCAATTGGAACCAGTGACGTTTCCTGCACGGCAATCCACCTGCCGGAAAAGTCAATCACAAACCTAGTAAAACCAGTAATATTTCCGGCTGGAACTTTTTGACGGGTAGGTAAGGCTGCTGTGGGTTTAGCGATTTTCCAATACAGGTATGGTGAACTTACCTATAAGAAGAATTTGCTGATAATCCTGTCCATTTACATTAAAGGCCCATTTTGTATCAAATTTGGTCATGCGATTATGGGGAATGCCATTCCTTTAATGCGGCTGTACGAGGTGCGTTCGAAAAGTACTGATTACTGCGGCGCAGCTCCTTCATCTTTTTCTGTAGCAGCACTGCAATTGTGAGTGCTTTAAAATAAATGTTTCTTTAGCTCCTGTGTGAAGGTTTCGCTTTGTGTTTATTGCATTAATTTCTTAAATAGCCTTTTTAAAGCTCAGTTAGTTGAATCATTTGATTAAATATGACTTATATGCAAGGTATATTTAAAAAAAATGTTTATTAAAAAAAAAAAAAACAACTGAGCGGTGGGGTATCCTTTCTTCAGAAGTGGAAAATCGCGGAGAATCCTGACCCCCTTTCCAGGCGGACCTACATATGGCCTCCTCTCTTGCCCACTCTTCCTCCGTTGAAGCCCTCATACTCTTCACGTGCTTCTGGAATTTTTATCATCGACGGCAACAAATACAGACATAAATGACAGGCTTTGACATCACAGGAAGGCGTCAAGAGAATAAATAGGTAGACAATTTTCTCCTTTTAGACTCTGGGTTTATTTCATTATGAGTTCTCGTTCCAGACACTTGTGCAGTGCTTCATGCACATGCATGTAGCTTCGCCATCAGTACTCTAGTGTATACACAGGAAGTGCTGTCATTGCAACTTCTGTCATTACAGGGTGGGCTTTATGTTCGAATACAAATTTTCTCGAGATGTAATTTCTAAACGCGGGTCAATTTAAAACATCGGAAATGTACATCTAAAATCTATTTTTCCTGTCTTCATAGTTAGTGATAAGGATAGTTCAGAGTTCTTCATTCATTGAAATGGAGGACAAAGAAAGAAAGCGCAGTGCAATTGTGTCTCTTCATCTTGCCGGCAAAACAACTGGAGAAATCTTTCGCCTTCTAGTCCACACGGGCATTTAGCGGAACTTTGTGTATACTACCATCAAAAGATACAATGAAATTAGCTCTTTGAAGGACCGACCGAAGCTTAGCCGCCCACGCACCAAAAGAACCAAAAATCTCATTCAAAAAGTGAAAAGTCGTGTAGCAAGAAATCCTCAGCGATCGCAGAGAAAACTGGCCAAAGATCTGAATGTTTCAAGGTCCACCATCAGGACCATTTTGAAAAAGGACCTTGGACTGAGGCCTTTCAAAAAAGTGAGAAGTCCAAAGAGCAGAAGCGAAAGCGAATGACTAGAGCTAAGGCTTTATTGAGGCGTTTTACAGGTAACAGGTGGAAATCGGTAACGTTTACCGATGAGAAGCTTTTCGTTGTAGAAGAAAAGCACAACTCCCAAAGCAATCGGGTCTACGCGACCAACAAATCTGCTATTCCAGATGAAAGTTTGAGGGTCCTAAGGACACAGAAGCCTTCGAATGTTATGGTCCTTGCTGGAGTTTCATTTTGTGGTCGCACGAGGTTGACCTTTATTCCATCTGGAGTGAAAATCATTGCGAACGCCTACATCAGGGATGTTCTGGAACCAGTCATCGAACCCTTGAGTACTACTTTATTCGAGGGAGCCCAATG